GCTTTGCACCTGTGCTGTAGCTGGGCCTCTTCTCCTGTCAGAATCTTGCCACACGCATCCCTGTTGAGGAGAAAAGTTTTTCAGCACCTCTTTCATGGTGCAGGAGGGTTTAGTTCTGTTCCAGCTTGTGAGGCCACTGGTAAGCTGCTTCATTTCCTTCTCACTTTTGTCTTTCCCCTGTACAGGGTGCTGGACAAGGCAGTGTCTCTCTCTGCAGGACTGTAGTGACATGGATAAACTAACAGCAGGATTAGGGGAGGGAGTTCCTGAGGCATTAAGCAGGGATCCTTCCAATCCTTTGGCTAAATCAGTTATTTCAATATCTGTGTTTTACTAGAACACCAAATATTAACTCACTGTTCTCAGCCATGCTGTTTGGGGATGGTATATTTTTTTTCCTGAGACCCTTGGGAGCAGTTTACCAGGAGAGCATAGTGTGCTCACTGCTCTTTGGAACTTTGCTGCCCTGCAGGTTCAGAAGAGCTCTGTGTTCCGACGAAACGGAGCCGATATCCACTCGGATCTGCTGATCTCAATAGCTCAGGCCGTGCTGGGAGGCACAGCCCGCTGTCAAGGCTTGTATGAGACAATCAACATCACGGTGAGTGCCAGTATTCTGGGCATGGATCCGTGGGGCACAAAGGCTTCTCCTTTCCTGCAAAGGTGGGCAAAATCTCCCAAGTCTGCCAGTATTGCATTTCAGACTCCTTCGGGACTGAGCCTTGGGTAGTTTGTGACCTGCCTGGTCACAGCTTCTTTCCTGTTGCTGTGTATGGACAGGGAAGGAAAGGAATTGCTGGGCCAGCCCCATCTGAGGGCTACAGGCTGTGTCAGGTTCTTTACTTACTCCTTCATAAGCTTTTCCATCATTACTGGTTTAGCTTTGGGATGTGTCTCAATGCATGAGCATATAAGAGCTCTCCCATCCTACTTTGAAGCTTGTTGAAGAAGCAGGTGATTTTTATAGAGGGTTAATTAGAGTACTAAATGTGACACCTTTGTGTTTATAGATACCCCCTGGTATTCAGCCAGACCAGAGAATTCGAATGAGTGGGAAAGGCATTCCCAAGGTGAACAGCTATGGCTATGGAGACCACTACATCCACATAAAGATAAAAGTTCCTCAGTAAGTGGTGCTAAAACAACTTCCTGTGAAATCTTGAAAACTTTTTGCAAAAAATGTTGTTTAGAAGTTGTGAAATTTCCATGAGGTGAAAGGCAGTGGGTCCTATGTCTCCTTTTCCACTGAGAATTCTTTATAGAGATCATTCCTTATAGATGGCTCATTTAAAGAGCAAGTGGATTCCTGGTGTATTCGTACACAAGTCCAGTCCCTGCCCCTGGTGGGTGCTGCTGGAAGGTTTGGGAGGCTGTGGGACCCCAGGCCATCCCTGACCCCGTGTCCTGGTGCCACAGGAGGCTGACGGATCGCCAGCGAGCCTTAATGATGAGCTACGCCGAGGACGAGGCCGACGTGGACGGCACCGTGAACGGGGTCACCAACACAGCGTCAGGTGAGCAGGGGAACTCCTGTCCCTGCCCTGGGCAGCTGCTGGGGAGTGCACAGTGCTCCCTGAGCACTCCTGGGAGCAAGGTGAGCCAGGCTCACCACCAGGCCCGTGGCAGCACAGCCTGCTTTAACAGAAGTAGTGCTAATGTGATACTGACAGGCTGTAGCACACAGCAGGGAGTAGCCTCTTCCCAGGAAGCTCTATTCCAGTACTTACTGGGCAAATCCATGTGTGAACAGAGAGCAGGCACTGAGTACTCCAGGGTCCAGTGTGCTGATAAATGCCTCCTGCTCCCTGCTTCCCCTGTGCCAGGACTTGCCTTGAGGCAGGAAAGCAAATGTGCTTCAGGCCAATTTCCTGTGTGATCCCAATCCAGTGTGCTTGTGAGCACGGCAGGGCTGCTTCTCCTGGAATGCTGACAGGGGTTTCTGTTGGGGCTGAGCTCTGTGTGTGTGGGGTAACCTGGGCTGGGAGTGTCCATTGGTGGCAGTGTCAGCTCTGGACAGTGGACAGTGTCCAGCACGATGGAGGAATGAAGGCAGCTGGGAGCTTTGTGGAGCTGCTCTCCAGCTCCAGATGGAAAATCTAGATTCAGCAATTGTGTTTTAAGTTTCAGGGCTGAGGTGCTTGGAAGAGACAGCAGCTAAAGGCACAACACATGGTAAAATAGTAAGGAAGGAGCTTTGTCTCTCACTACTGGAAAGCAGTTTTTTGTTTGCTTAATTGAAACAATGAACTTCTTAAAGCCTGTTGGGAGTTTGGTTTTGGTTTGAAACCCAACAAGGCATTTATGACTAGGCCAAGGTGAGAGCCTTTTGGAGCTGCTGAATGATCTCAGGATCTGCTCTACCACATGCCAAAGTGTGAGGAATATAGGCTTAAGTGCAGGATCTGCCAAATACTTCCCAGTGTTTTGTTTTATAGTAATTATACAAACAGAAAATAAGCCTTTCCTATATTACAGTCAGCCTTGGGTGAAGGGCAGAGAGCTCGGGGCACTGAATTTCCATTCCAGCTTTTTAAAGGCATTTGTGTGCCAAAGAGGAAAAAAAAAAACCTCCTCAAACTAATTTTTTAAAAAGCAAACCTGCCAGTTTTTACCATGATGGAGCAGCAAGGTGAGTTAAAACGCCAGCAGGTTGCAGTGTAGAGACAGGCTGTGCTGAGGGAGGCGTGTCCTGCCTCGGGATTTCATCCCATTGCATCAGCACTCAGCCCTGGGAGGCTGGGGTTCACCAGACTCCTTGTTCTCTGTGCACAAAGAAAGCTTGAGGAGCTGTTTGGGATCTTGTTGATGGTTTTACTGTGTAAAAAAGCAGTTTAGCAAAGAGGTCTCCTTTGTTTTGTTTATAGCCACTTCTGAGGGACAAACAAGTTCTCAGGACCTGTTCATACAGGACAATTTTAACATTCTTTATCTGGACGGTCAGTCTGAAATACTTGTAGTCTCTTTCATTTTACACGAGTTAATTTTCTGCTTGATACTGAGCATTGCTTGCAGTGACATAAATCAGGCTCCAGCTTTATGTCACTGCTTTGGTTTTGCACTGCTTTGCAAGGACACAACCTTGAAACAGGAAGAACTTGTTTTAGGGACTACCAGTATAGATTTTTTTAACCCTGTAAAATCATGGCTGGCTGTGATTGAGTTCACCACTTGTTTTTAGTGGCAGACTCTCAGTTCCAAGTACTTGTTTCCAAAGCCTGTGGAGCTCCTGACTCAGTTGTGCAGCACAAGAATTCCCTTGCCAGATGGAGGGCTGGGGAGAGGGGAAGGGAACAGCTCAGCACCTGAGCTCATGGTTGGCTTTTCCACTTGTGGGATCCAGGCTCTCCAGTGCTTCCACTGCAAGGGGTCTAGTCCTGTGGCTCGCTGCCAGTGCAGCCCTGGACGTGAGGGAGCAGCACAACCAGCTGCTTTCTCTTGGCCATTCCCTGTGTAAAACACCCCTCTGGTCCTGGTGGGAGATGTCTCTGACTGCAGCCCTTTGCTGTTTGTGTCCAGGTGGCAGGGCCACGGCTAGCGCTGACGCAGGCGGGGATAGGCCTGAGGCTCAGGAGAACAAGGAGGGATTCCTTTCCAAACTTAAGAAAATGTTTACCTCCTGACACCCCATCCGAGGTAGGAGGCCTCTTGTGTTTCACTGTCCTTTCCCCCACACTGAGCACTTCTTGGGAGGTGGAAGCACAATAGCACAGCGTTGGTTCTCACTTAGCCTCAGGCCTTCCAGCGTGGGTGTGCACAGCCCTAGCTGTCCCCTGGGACCTGGAGCAACAAGGCAGGGATTAAAGTGCATTGTTGCTGCAGCAAAGAGCAGCACAGGTGCTGGGTGCACCCTTGGGGAGGTGGCTGGCTTCCCCTGCAGCTCTGCTGCTGGAGCTGTGTTCAGTTCCAAGCACTGTGGTCCCATGAGCTGGTCCCACTGGGACTGGGTTCTGCCACACAAATCTGGGCTGCAGAGCCACTGGTGCTGGATTCACCCCTGCCATGGGCTTACGGCACCAGGGAGGAGCCAGCCTTTGTCACAGCACAGCAAAGCCCACCATGCATCACTGCAGTGTAACTCAGGTGCTTCAGTTGGTGCTGACCTGGTATGAGGGAGCACCAAGACTTGGCAAACAGAGTCTGGGATCCCAGGGGCTCAGCTTTGCATCTCTGTAGGCTTCAAAGCTGGCTGTGCTGTAGGGCTGACAGTGTGACAGCAGGTCAGGAGGGGAGGTGCTCACAGAGTGGGCTGTGTGCTGATACAGCCAGGAAATTGTAACCTTCCTCTCACTTCAACTGCAGGAAAGCGTTCTACTGGGAACTAGGAGCCAGCAGCAGCAGGTCATCTGTGCAGTTGGGGGTGAATCTTTCTGGCAGCCAGGCTCTGGAGAACAAGGATGTCAGTCAGCAGCACAGCAAGAATCCCAGCTGGAGAGGCCATGGACCACAGAGGCACCAACACAAACCTCACCACTGTCCTAACAACTGGCAGCGAAAGAAAACACCAGCTTAGCAGAAGTGTGGCTCTCTGGAGGCTGCTCCACAACCTTACTGCTGCTGGAAGCTTATTTGGTAAAAGCTAAAGTATTATTTAGAATCCACACCAGAGGAAATGTGAAACAAATAGTCCAGCACAGAGCAGCAATATGCTGTGTGGATGCCAAGCACACCAGCTGCTCACTCAGGTGCCCTTTGGAATGCCAGGTGTGCTTGGTGAACTCTCCAGGAGACTTGGTGGGTCAGGAAGGTCTAACCTTGTCTTCACAACAGCCCTGCTGCCCTGCACAGCTCCAAGTGGAATCTCCTTGTGGCTGGGCGTTGTCTGAGCCCAGCTGGCCTGGCTCCCTCACAGCCCTGGGCTTTCTCTATCCTGCTGATTGCCTGCACAGAGCAGTGATGGAATCTGCACTTTGCCTCAAGTTTATCCCCCAAATAACTAAAGTTACCACACAGCTGCTGTCGCTTCTGGACTGGTACAAGTCGATCACTGAGCTCTTTGCCAGTTGGGGACAAAAATCTTTTATTACTTTAGTGCAACACCCATAGCGTAAAGGATTGGTCAAAGCATCGTTGTTTTACTTGTGTGAGAGTGCAAGTGAGGTGGATCACTCCCTCCAGATGGAGCTGAGCTCTTGCAGTGAGTATTCCATGGTTACTGTAGCCTGCTGTGTTTGTGATACTGTGCAGGTACCATCAGCCCACATACTAATCAGTTCAACACCAGTTCAGCAGGGACATGCTGTAGTCTTGCCCTACTTAATTTGCTGAAATAAAGCACGCATTGCCTCCTGATTAAACTTCTGTAAAGTGATTCTGTACCCATGTAAATAAGATGGACTTCATAAAGATATTTAACATGTGCTGTGCCTTGCTGCCTTGTCTACTCTTCCACATGCTCTGTTACCCCCTTTCCCTCCCCTAGTAACAGGAATGAAGGTCTCTGGGACAAGGAGGGGACAGGGTTGGATGGCTCAAGCATTGCTAGGGGCTGGGATTGACTCTAAACACAAAGCTGCCCTATCTGAGCAGTATTTTAGGCATGTGAGGGGGAAGGGGCTTTTCCACTGAGCCTTGGACAGTCTTAAAAAAAGTCAAGTTTTATATCAGCTCCTTGGTACAGTGACTGAAGTTAGCTCCAGGAGCCCAAGGACCAGAGCTGTATGATGAGGAATCAGGCTCAGCTTTTGTGTTACACTCACAAGAAGTCACTCCCTGCTTGCTGGGGTGACACTAAGCTTTCATTCTCTCCAGTGGCTCACCTGCAGTGCCCAAATCAGATCCATGGAGAAATCCTTGTCTTCTGTTTGCTCAGGAGCCTGCAGCAGCCCTGGCCATGGATACCTGCCTTTGGGGCCCTGGGTTACACACCTTCAGCCTATGGCAACTTCACCTGCTGCCATATGCTCAGAGCTGCCTGGGAAAGGAGGTGATCCTAGGAAAACTAGCCCCCACCACCCTAAAACCCCCACAACGACTAAAGCAACACCTCCCTGAGGACAGAGTGCAAAGGCAGTGCTTCTGCCACCCCTCTGCCTGTGCTGTCCAGCTCCTCCTCTTGTTCTAGCTGCCTAAATCTTCCCAACCACGCTGCACACACACTGGGGCAGGACCAGCCCCTCCCTGGGGCGCTACTGGGAAGGCAGCATGGCTCAGGGCACATCACCTCAGCCAGGTCCCCCTACTGCTGCAGAAACCAGGGAGGGAGGGGAGGCTCAGAAGGCATTCTTGTTGTCCCCCACCCACTGCTGGAAGGTGCGGGCCCTGGGGTTGAGCTCCATGGTCAGGGCCACGCTGCGGTCTGGCTTTAGGGCGTAGAAACGGAACATGGCAGCCGTCTCCTTGGCCCCAGGGAAGTCCTGCTTCTCGTACTCCTCAGGGGAGATCTGCCAACAGAATTGGGGAAAAAAACAGTATTTCAGAGGCTGCTGGGGCTTCCCCGCAGCCTCTGAGGGGATGTGAGGAGGGCTCTGGTAGAGCAGCCTGTCACAGCATTGCCACTGGTGCAGAGGGTTCTGCAAGGCACTTCTGCTGGGGGTGGGCAAAGGATGCAGCCCTGCCTGGCAGGAACAGCCCAGCCAGCCCAGGGCCAGCACCCAGGTCTGGCACACAGCTGGCCAGGGTCTGGAGCAGCTATGAGGGAGCCATTCCTCACACCACAGCTATGGCAGAGGGCTTCTAGAAACTGGTGGTCCAGGAGGCAATTCAGGTTGGCACCTGGCACCCCAAAACATCCTTCTCTGCCTGAATCAAAGGGTTTGGCTCACTTCTGGGAGGGGAGAACCTGCAGAGAGCAACAGAGGCTTGTTTCTAATGAAATGCACCATGTCCCTCATTCATTGTATTGGCTGCCTGAGGCACAACTGAAATGCAAACAAAGTTTAAAAATAAGTCAAGAAGGGGCAGGGAGTGGTCAGGGGCGTTGTTAACACTGACACAGCACAGAGGCCAGATCTGTTGTAATGGTGATGCAGCAAAGCCCTGAGGGAAGCCCTGCTGAAGGGAAGGGCACCCAGCAGAAATCTGTTGGGTAGGTGCCCATCCCTGTGTCTGTTGGAGACCTCCCAGCTCAGCTATCCCTTAGAACCAGGCACAGACCTGCCCAGGCACCTCTGTGTGCTCCACAGGCATGAGCTCAGTGCCAATACCAACAGGGCAGCGTCGGTGCTGGGCTGTACCAAAACGAGCTGTGAGTCCCTCAGGACCACCACCTACACCAAGAGACACTTCCTACCTTGCTGGCTGTCACAGTCCTGCCCGTCTGCTGGGAGAGGATGGCAGCGTACTCTGCCTCGGTGAGCTTGCCCGTGCTGAGTCCTATCACCTGGCCGATGTACTCCCCTGGGGACCTCAGGAGGCCAAGTACAACGGGCCCAAGGTCCTCCACAGCCATCCCATCCATGGGGGTGTCCCCCATGGGCAGCTCTGTGTGGAGAGATTGATCCCAGCTGCAGTGCAGCCCAGCTCTGAGGAGGTACAGCGGAGTTTTCAGCTCTGTCTGGACACGAGGTGAGGGAGGGATGAGAGCGCTCATCAGCATGGCAAGGCACGAGAGCAGGGCTGAGCTAAGAGACCTCGACACCAGAGCAGCAGCCCCACAGCCTCTACCATCCCAAATGCAGGCACTTGGGGTGTCCAGAGCTGCTCTGGGATCTGCAGAACAGCCCTCAGCACCACAAACAGGCCCAGGATCCCTGTGATTTCCTCCAGGCACCGAACAGGTCTGAAGGCCACAATGCAGCTTGCTGTGGTCAAGCTGGTAGAGACCTTGTGACCCTACCAGCCCACAGCCGTGGCAGTCTCTCCACCAGCAGAATGGGAGCAGATGAAGACAGTCACAGGACAATGACCCACAGAGCAAGAGCTCCTCTTACCCAGGACAAAGGTGTCTCCCTGCAGGGCCTTCTGTGGCTTGAAGATGGAGAGGAAGTTCTCAAAGTAGAACGGCAGCCGGATGATGGTGGTGGGAACCCCAATTTTCTGGAAGTACTCCTCCACCACGCCTTTGCCATCAAAGTGCAGCACCTCCAGCCGGCCCCCCGTCAGCTGGTGCACGTTCTCCAGGCCGCTGAACACAACGTGGCGCAGACCCTGGCGCTTGGACACGTCAGCGAGACGCTGTCCCTGGGCCAAGGGAGAAACCAGCCATGAAGAGGGGAATGGGACATCCCCATCATCCCCCCTTCCCCCTGGGGAGGATCCAACTCCCACCAACCCTCAGCTACGAGCATAGTGAGTTGTCCAGGAGGAGCTGAATTCCCTCCTTACCTATTCTACTTGAGAAGACCACACATCCTCCAGCTTTGGAGCTTGCTGCTCCACCAAACACTCAAGCACCAGCATAAAGCACCAGCCTGGCCAACATATCTGCTCTAAACTATCTTATCTTTTGTTTGTTGCCATCCAGGTGTGGTAACTCTGCCACCTTGCAGTATCTGTCCAGGCATGAACACCACCCTTGGGATCTCTGATACTGTGAGATTTTGGCCCCAAAGCTGCAAGCACAGAGGGTTACAGGTCTGCAGACAGCAACTGTCCCAGCTCTGCCCTGGGATGAGGAGCCAAGTGTTCCCACTCCCGCTACTCCAGCTCCTGGGAAGTGCTCCCTGTAACAAATCTATCAACTTCCTGAAGGCAACAGACCCTGGAGCCATGCAACTGCGCGGGAACAGAGAACAAATCCTGGTTTTGCAAGAACTGGGACCTGGTGTTAGTGAGGCCTTGGGGTCTAATGGACTGGCCACTCAAACTACCAGGGCTGCCACGGATGCTCCAAGAGCAGACCCCACTTTGCTGCTACTCATGACCCACCCTGCCAGATCATTTCGCACGTGGTCCCAGTGAATGTCAGGACAGTTACCTGCTCGATTTCCTTCTCCTTGCTGCAGTGTTCCCAGAAGTTGGTGACAATAAAGGCACCGTAGGCACCCGCCAAGGCCCTTTCCAGCGATGCCTCATCGTCCTGATCCGCCTTCACCACCTCGGCTCCGCTGCGCCTCAGCTCCTCCGCCGGCTTCTTCCTGGGGCTCCGCGTCACCGCTCGTACCTTGAAGGTGCCATCGTCCAGCAGCGCCCGGGCCACGCTGCCGCCCTGGGCCCCTGCAGAGCAGCCGCTCAGGGCTCCGGGGCTCGGGGCTCCGGGGCTCCGGGGCGGAGCGGCCGCAAGCACCGAGCGCTCCCCGCACCGCCCGCCCGCCTCACCTCCCGCCCGCTCGGGCATCACCGCCCCCGCCCTCCCCGCCGGCACAGCCCGGCTCTGTCCCCGAGCACTCACCGGTGGCCCCGAACACCACCATCAGCTCCTTCCCGGCCATGCAGCGGCGCGGGCGGTCCCGGGGCACCGGGCACGTCTTCCCTCACACGGCTCCGCACCTCGGCTCTGCTCGGCTCCAATCGGCTGTGCCCGGCTCTGCTCGGCTCCAATCGGCTGTGCCCGGCTCTGCTCGGCTCAGTTCGGCTTCAATCGGCTGTGCCCGGCTCAGTTCGGCTCCAATCGGCTGAGCCGGATTTGCGCGCGTTCGTCTGTTCGGCGCGACCCGATTGTGTTCGGCTTCACACGACTGCGCTCGGCCACGCCCCCTGGGCGGGGCTAAAATGTCAATCCCCACCATGCCTCGCCCACCAGAGCCGGGCCCCGCCCACCGCCGGCGCGAGGCTCTGCTCCCATCCCAATCCCACCCCCAATCCCATCCCAATCCCATCCCACCCCACCCCCAATCCCATCCCACCCCACCCCCAATCTCACCCCCAATCCCACCCCTAATCCCATCCCACCCCACCCCCAATCCCATCCCCCCATCCCCAATCCCATCCCACCCCACCCCCAATCCCATCTCCTCCCACCCCCAATCCCATCCCCCCATCCCCAATCTCATCCCACCCCACCCCCAATCCCATCCCACCCCACCCCCAATCCCACCCCCAATCCCACACCACCCCCAATCCCATCCCACCCCATTCCCAATCCCAGCCCATCCCCAATCCCACCCCCAATCCTATCCCATCCCCAATCCCACCCCCAATCCCATCCCACCCCCAATCCCACCCACCCCCAATCCCACCCCCAATCCCATCTCCCCCCACCCCCAATCCCATCTCCCCCCACCCCCAATCCCATCCCTGACGTTTCCCCCTCTCTCAACCCTTAAATTATCAGGCTAGCTCAGCGATATGAGGCTTTGAGGGGAAGAACATCAGGAGATGGGTAAAGATTCTAAAAGAGGATTTCACTCTGATGTAGTTGTCTAGCTCTTTATTTTATGGTTTGAAGGGAAGAGCAAAGGAAAGAGAGTGAACAGGAAATGTTAGGGGTTTATTTAGGCTCTGGACAGGGAGGGCTTTTCTGGCTCTCTGCTAATCCTGTTAGGGCATGAAGGAGGGGACTAGGCTTATCTTCATCAGAATTACAGGGGTTTCGGGGAATGGGGGAAGACATGCCTGAGCTCAATGTTACACATCCCACCCCACCCCCAATCCCATCCCCTGGCCCAGCCGCCTGCTCCTTGCTCAGGAAACCCGCTTAAAACCCAAGAGCCACCACGTCACCCTCCGAGAGGTGGCTGGGGGTTGTGTCTCTTCCTCCCGGGGTCCCCCGAGCGTCCCAGACTAGCAAAGTCTTTCCACCTTTCCTTGGTGTGGAAGCCAGGCTGTTCCCCAGGCTCGTCCTGCTGCTCCTCTGCAGCTGGCACCGCTGTTGTCCCCAGGCAGGTGACTCTGTGCAGGTCTGAGGAGCTGTCCCCAAGCACCCTCGAGCACCTTCCTACCAAGAAACCGCACGAGTCAACAAATAGAGTCACCCTGGACCTTTTCTCACCTCTCCTGCCACCTCCAGAGGGGCTGCGGACAAACCCACCCTGCTGGGAACTCCATAGGTTGGGTTTAGTAAATAAATCCATGGAGAAATCTGGGGTTGAATCTGGTAAATGACCCAGAAAACGCGTGAGGGATGTGTAATTCACAGTGGCAAAGAAACATTTCATATGTGTTAATTCAGATCAATGATGAATTGTGAAAGCAGGAGGTGCAGCTCTGACTGGGGTTTCTGCACAGTCATTTTGGAGGTGAGGGATTTTAGCTACAGGTTGGCTGCTGGGAATTACCAGCTCCTCTTGAAATCCCCCTCCAGACGGGGAAATTACCAACAGACCTCAAACTCGACAGAGAAAAGTTTTAACCCCTTCCTGGGCACAGCTGGGGCGGGCAGAGAGCGAGGCTGGGGGACACAGAGCCCAAAGTGGTGGCTGGAGCTCGGAATTCCTGCTTGCCCCCACCTCTCCTCCCCAGGCACAGTTCAGTGGCCACGAGCCCACCCTGACCCCCACCAGCTCGCCACCATGAGAGCTCCACTAGCCACCATTTGCCTGAATGCCAGTGAAATTTTTACAGGATTTACAAATGGAGGGTTTTGTCAAACCAAAATGGAAAATAATCACCGAGCCCACCTGTGTGTGTGGAGCTGGGGAGGGGAGATCCTGTCGATCCTGTCGATCCTGTCGATCCTGATGCTCTGGTAGCTCTGGCTCCTTGGTGGGATGAGATCCAGCTCTTTGGAGACGAATCCTAATTCCAGGAAGCATTTGGCAAAGACAGGAGAACGGCTTTGGAGGAAAGCGAGGCTATTCCTACCCTTTTATCCCACTCCTTCAAAACACAATTTTCATTTACTCATGGAATTATTTCTTTGCACAACCCAGGGAAGGGCAGAGCTGCTGCTCCAGCCTCTCCCATGGGATATTCCCAGGCCGGAGTGAGCGGATGGTTTTGCTCCGAGTGAACTCGCAGCACTCTGGATGCTGCTGGGGCGGGTTTGTGGCTTTGGGGACAAAGCGGCCGCAGCGGGGGAAGTGTCCCCGCACGGAGCTGGGGCAGTCCCGGCTGCCGCTGGGTTTTGGCGGATCCCTCAGCCCGATTTGCGCATCACCAACCCTGCCCTGCCAGGAAGGAAGATCTGCGAGCCCCAGGGCAGGAAGGGGCGCGGAGAGAACGGAAAGAGACAAAAAGCACCGGGCTGGAAAGGGCTGAAACCCGGACCCGCCTGAGCATCCCTGAGGAGCAAGGAAAGCCCTGGGCATAAGGAGCTGAGCGGGACACGGAGGTGCTGCATCCTCCCGGGCCACGAGGATGCCCTCGCCACTGCCCTGCTGACACAGCCACCGGGGGAAGGTGGCACGAGGCCAAGGTAGGGGCTTGGAGGGGCTTTGGAGGGGTGTGGGGAGAAGGGGAGGTGGCACTTGGCTCTCCCTGGTGGGGACAAGCTGCTGCAGAGCTCGTGCTGTGATGGCCACGTGAAATGGGCCAAGGAGCTGATGGGCAGAGGTCCCTGGCACTGCACGGCATGGCACGGCATGGCATGGCCACCAGGCTGGCAGGAGGGGGTGGAGCCCAGAGTGATGGAGATGAGCGTGGCACCCCCCAGGGAACCTGGCACATGTCACAAATCCTGTCCCCTTGCCAGGACATGAAGGCAGCCACAGCCAGGCTGTCCTGCCTGCCCAAAGCCTTGTGCAGCAGCTTTCCTCCCCTTAATGTCACCTGCTGAACTAATTAACTTCCAAACCGTCCAAAATAAACTCCAAGATGTACCACGAACAGAAAAGGAAGAGATTAGTGACACACTCACCTGTGGCACGGTGCAAAACTGCACCAAAGGGTGGTGCAGGGCCCTGGGGTGTGCCAGGGCAGGTCGGGGGGCTGGAGCTCAGCCCTGCACCCAGGTGGGCACAGAGCCCGGGCACCCTGGGCTGCCTCAGGGCATCAGACTTAACCCTGCTGGTATTCCAGCACTGCTGGGGACAGGACAGGCTGGCTGCTGTCACCCCTGGGCTATCACCCTCCCTCAGGGTTTGGCCACCACGTGGAAGAGTTACCCAAAGCCAGACAGGCACCGTTGGGAGCCAGGGGACACCTCCCACTCGGGATGTTCGTGTTGCACAAAAAATTCTTTCTGGAGAACTCTCAGCTGCTCTTTGAGGTGCTCTGCCAGCCCAGAAAGGCTGGGTGGGTCTCACATCTGTCAGCATCCCTGCAGCCCTGGGGCTATGGGTACACAGAGCAGCTCCTGCCCAGATTTCCTGCTGATATCCTGAGATCCCGTGGGTGGGAAGGGCAGAAGTTGTTTGCTGGGAGGATCTGCTTTTCAATCAGCTGTTTGCACAGCTGTGGTAAAGCATCCTCAGGGCATAGCCAGCTGAGGAAATGCATCAGCCTCCATTCTGCAGCTTCTGAGGTGCAGCAGTGCCCTGCAAGGGACCTCCTCTCCAAAATTAGCTTATTTTTCAGCTGTTTGGAATCACCCATAGATCGATTTTTCCTTTTTTTTTTCTGGTGAGATTTAGGACTGGCCCAGGGGCCCTTCATGGCCCCCTCACCTCGTATTTAACCCCCGCTGTGTCTGGGCCCTGTTATTTGGGTTGGGGTTCAGGGAAACAAAAACCACAACTCAAACCTGGAAGAGATTAAATTTGACATAAAATACATTTGGCAATCAATTTTGCTTGCATTAAATCCAGACCAAAAAAATATAAGTCATATGCAAACTCAGATAGCTGAGTTACTTACCAGTTACTGCAAGCCTCATAATTGAGTAATAACGCAGAAGGTATTTTATTGCAGAAATAAATAAAAGGTATTTTAATTAGCAGAAATTAACGATGTGAAGTCTCTTCCATTCTGCCAAAAGGTGGCAGCCTCCATCCTGGCTTCGGGATTCGCTCAGCTTGGGGGGGGAACTGTTGGCCTGGGAAATGTTCTGCTCGCTGCCCTCCGAGGTGGGATCAGCTCAGGGGGGAAATAACTAAAAAGCACCGAAGGTGAGCGGGAGGAGGAGCCCCGAGAACCGGGTGCCAACCACCCCCTTCCCCCCACTGCTGGTGAATCTGCCCCCGAGCCCCTGCAGGGGGACAAACAGAGATTTCAGCTGCTGGGCATCACCTGGTGCAGTTCTGGTGGGCAGCTCCCAGCCTGGCATGGTCCCAGGGGCTCAGCAGATCCCTGAGGCACAGGGGATGGATCTGTGTGGGGCAGAGGAAGGTCAGGTGTCTCTGTGTACACAGAAGCTTGGTAAGTTCCAAAGAGAAAAATACCCAGTTTTATTTAAACATCTGGTATTTACAGAATTCCAAAGGTGACCGTGGATTGGAGGATGGAATTAGCACCTCTCCGACCACACTGGTCCAAAGATCAATCAATCATTTCTCTCCACTCGCAGAGAAATATGTAAACTATTCTATTTATACATGAAACTGTGTGAGAAATCTGACTCTCAAATATGTAAACGTTATCAGAAGGCTAAAGACATTTTATGGACCTTGGGACTGTAATAAGGGAAAAAAAAAAAGTGTTAGTGCCAAATTCTTGCCAAGAAAATTCCCATTTCCTTCCCTGGACCTTGCAGGTGCCATTGACCAGTTT